AACCAGTAGCTGGCTGCCTGAGCCCAGGGGCTTCCAGAGGGCTGGGAAATAGCAGAGACTAAGGAAAGAGCAGGGCTCCTGTGGGGTGGCCACAGGGCAGTGGGTTTTTGTTTTGTGATTTTTATTTTTTTTTGGGTATCCACACTACAGAGACAGCATTTGCCTACTAAAAGGCCTGAAAGCAGAAGGTGACTGCCCCTTCCCTGTCTGGTCATGCTCCTGACACCCACAGGAAGTATTTAGGAAAGCCTGTGCCTTACAGAAGAATTTAAAACTCTGGGCTTTAGTGTAAGCTAAGTTGCTCCTTGCTTAGTTGTCCTCTGTTGTCTACAAGGTCTCATCTTCTACATCTCCTCCCCTTCTCATCTCCCTCTCCCCTGGTCCCACCAGCTTGCCCCCAGCCCAGGTGTGAGGCCATGCTCCATCACTCACTGGTGAGTGGGTCGATGCTGCTGGGGAACTGGTAGTTTTTCAGGCGGTCCAGCCAGGGTTGGCACTTGAAAATGCAGCACAACATCTCACAGCAGTGGTCATCCCTTGATGGCTTGTCACCCTCCAACTCCCCTTCTGGTGGAGGCTCTGGTGCTGCCACAGGTGCTGGCTTACCTGGGGCTGGGAGAGGCCACACAGTTATTCAAAGTGCAGAAAATCTTACTGCAATTTGTTTTAAGGTCTTTAGAGTGTTAATAAAAGAGCTGTCTCCCAGAAAATACCATGTGACTAGAGACCTACCCAGCCCCACTTGAACTCACATGCCAAAGGGCTCTCCTCATCCGAGGTGACATCAGGGTCAATCAGCTTCTCCTTCACCTTCTCAGTCCTCTCTTTGAAGAGCTTCACCAGCTCCTGGAGCCGAGTGTTGATGATGGCACTGCTCAGGCTCGTGGCCGAGCCGACATGCTCAGGCAGGCTGTGGGGAGACCATTGGGCATTTCATGCAGGGAGGAAAGCTCAAGGGCAGGTTCACAGAATCATAGAATCACAGAATGGTTTGGGTTGGAAGGGACCTTAAAGTTCCAGCAGTTTCAGTAAAAGATTGTCGAGCAGCACCAACCTGAGCCTCATCTGTGCCTAGGGATGGAAGATGCTGTCAGAAGGCTTGGGAAGCACCAAGATCCCAGGCTGAATTGCATGTGCTTGATTTTAGAAAAGCTATGGGGTGAAAATATGCACCAAACCCCTGAATTTTGAGCTCTATCTTCTCTTTTCATCCTCCTTATTAGAACCAGGTTGGATTCAGACCAGCATGCTTAACCTAGCATGACTGAGAAGCATCTCTAGGAGGGAGGACAAAAGAGAACTCATTTGCTGTGGCACCAGCTGGTTCATTGTGATAACTGGCACCGTAATTTCTTCCCAGGAAGAAGGCAAAACCCTGCACCATGTGGAGGTGCAGACCCTCCCCAAGACTGCCTCCCAGGGAGGGCAGCTCTCTTTGTGGCTGCAGGGAAGCTGGGACCTGAGATGTGATGCTCAGCTTGTGCTCACTTCCTGTGTGGAAGAAAAAGGTCATTTCTCCACAATCAGTAAAAACAAGGTGTTCCCACAGTGCTATAGCACATGTAGATCAAAGGTGCATTTTCTTTGCAGTTACACCTAGTCTTAAAAATAATATTTATACCTGGATACAGGAAAAACAAGAGAGTAGTTTCTGCTCCAGTGAGCACTGTGATCATTATTTTTGGAGAGGGTGTGCTTTCCTTGTTACAGAGCACTAGGATCACTGTGGGCATGGCTCTCTCTCCCTAGGATCTTTGCTGTTTTCACACGAGCCACAAGATCCAAACCCCTGGCTGATTTGGAGCCCTTGTGAACCTCCCACGAATCCCAACCACACACCTTTCCCTCTGCTCCTTGTCCCAGCCCAGCACTCGGGTTGGGGACTGGCTCACCAGTCCCTTGTCCAGACTCTCCTCTGGGACCAGTCGCTTCCTCCTGCAGACACAAACACAGTGAATGAGGATTGGCTTGTCCCTCATCCTCAGCCAGCTCCTCACACTCCTCCTCCTCCTTTTCCCAGGTGCCATCTCTTTTCCACTTCCCCTTCTCCTCCCAAGGTCAGTTTTCCCCTAATTTTTGTCATTGCCTGCAGAAAATGGGCGCAAACCACCCTGTTCCTTTGCTGCTAAAGCCCTGTTTCTTCCTGGGCACCACTGTGCCCTTGGCTCCACGGAAATGCTGCCACCTGGCCCACGTTGTAACCCCTTTTGAACACCTGGCAAGATGCACAGAGGGCAGGCACCACTCTGTGCTCATCCCCAGGACCACACCTTCACGTCACTGCACTTCAAGGGGCAGGCAAGGAAAGTGCAATACCTAGATGTGTCCTAACACAGCTAGTGGCTCCCTTTGGCACAGATGGGTTGTTGGGACAACTTGCTTACATGTGGACAAGCAAAGTGTCAGATGTAGAGCTGACTGTGAAGACGGCAGTCACAGCAAAAATCTGGCCTCATTTGCAAACCTGCAGCCAAGCCCAGAATTTTAATGGCAACAAAGAAAGGGTCTCCTGCCACCACAGCTGCTGATCCCACTGGCCCTGGTGTGAAATAGCTCTGTGCTGCACGTGGAGCAGGAGCAAGCAGGGCCCTGAGGGAAGTCATCCTGCCATCAAAAGTCTCCCAAATAAAGCCCAACGCTAGGAACCCAACACTTCCAGCCTCACTGGCTCTCAGGTGTGCCCTGAGAGAAGGGAAGGGGAACAGGTGAACAATACCAATGAACCTTCATTCTCCAAATACACTGTGCAGGGCTGGAGGAAAATCGCCAACCTACCCTCAGCCCCCCTCCCCCCCATTAAAATATTCTCAGATGTGGATGTTCCCAGAAGTTCCCAAACCCATCAGATTGGAGAAACAGTCCTGCTGAGGTCCATGGCATTGTTAGGACAACATCCATCACTTTTCACTGGTTTCCATCTGCCCTTCCTCTGCCTCTGACCCTCAGGCCTCTCCTCATCCCTTAGCAAGCCCAAGATGCCTATACTGACAGTCTCCGGCTCTGTAAGGGGGACCCTGCAGCACTAAGGGGGACACCTAACATTGCTCTGGTTTTGTTGCCCTTGGAAGTCTGCAGCCACAGACCATCGGCACTGGACTGTCCTGTACCTGCCTGGACACCTGGTCCCTGCCCATATGGCATTGGCTGGTGTATCCTGGTATTTATTGTCTGCAAGAGTCTGTTTCCAGGCTCCAATTAGATAATGTGCGACTCATTTGCGGTGAGTCTTTTATGACTCTGTCTAAATCACGTTGACTCTAATCTTTCACAGCCCAATGTAGGAAACAACTCAAGACTGTGGCCAATAGAAGGATCTTAAGGATAACTGGGTGACTGCTCAACCATTTAATTAAAAATTGCAAACAAGGGACAAGGCTTTTTCCATTTCCTCTGCTGTGCACAGGGGTGACACCCACCACACACACATAACCCTGGCTCACGTTTCAAACCTGCTGGAAATGAGTTGCTCCATATGGTTGTATCAATTTTCCTGTACTGACACCATCAGATCCCTGGGAGCCAAGGACTGTGCCTGGGCAGAGCCATACCTGGGGTATGCTGTGCTGGGCACTGCCAGCATGTTGGGAGCACTGGCAGCAGGCACCAGTAAGTGGGTACCATCATTCTCCACAGCATCGTCTTGGCTGTCCACATCCTTGATCTCCACAGTGGGGTAATTACCTGGTCCATGGGGAATGACAATAATTGCAGGTGAGGAAGACACAGGGCCCTGCCTGCAGCCAGGATGGTTTCCCAAACCCCATCACTGCCACAGAGCTGCTTCCAGACCCTGCAGCATGCTGGAAGGACTCTCCTACTCCCTCCATTCTCTTCTCTCCTGGCACTCTTTTCTCCTGTTTGGAGCATTTCCTCCTCTTTTTTTTTCCTGGTTTTTAACGCTCTTAGAGCTGCCACCTGCTTCCCTTCTGTTTGCCCAGCTTGCAGTAATTGCAACTACTCCATCTGAGTGTTGGGTTCCCGCAGTTCGGAAAATCATGGAGACAAGGATTCCCAGCTGCAGGTGTTATACAGGAACCCAGGATTTCCAGGTACAAACCTGCCTCCTAGGGTCTAGAAATTCTCCTGGGTCTTCTGAACATAAATGTACAGATCACAACAGCTCCAAATCACACCAGCATTCATTTTCCATGCAGAATAAGGCACTATTTAAACAAGTACTTACAGCTTCTCTCTTTTGCAGAGGTAGTAACTGCTTCCTGCAAGGTTAGAAGCAGGAAGGTTGGATGATTATAGTGGATAAAGAAAGATGCCAGTTGTCCAAGGGAGAAATGGTGCTGGGGATTACCCTGGCCAGACCCAGACTCAGCTGAGCTCTGAAGTCTCATCTCTTTTCTTAGCTATTTAACAAAATGCAACTGAGTTCCTGCAGGCTTTATTCTATGAGGGGTTTTCATACATCTGAAACATCCTGTGCACCCCCTTCTGTCCTAATCTGATGTGGAACTAGTGAATCAGAGTGTAGCTTGATTAAATCCCTGAGAAAAGGCCTGTTTGGGTTGCAAAGACAAAATCCCGTTGCGCGTAAGGAAAAGCAGCAGAATTTGGCTTGCTGGTTAAAAACAAAGCAAAGCAAAGCTGCAGAAAAGGCAGAAAACCGTGAAGAGCAAACCTCCACCTTACTGTCCTCTTAGTATGAGCAGGTTGCATGAATGCTAGAGAGAAAATGGTGTGTGCAGTGATATTGCACCCTCTGCCTGCAGGTCCTTTGGGAGAGCTTTCGACCAAGCAAGTCAAAACACACAGCATTTGCAAACGCACTCAAGGGTTAGCTAAAAAGGCACATAGTGATGAAGCAGAAGCAGACAAAACATGGATTTTTTTTCCCCAGCCTCTGTGCTGCAACACGAAGCGAGCTTTTATTTTTATTTTTGTCTTCCCCCAAAGGCAACAAAAAGCAACTACTCCAGGAATCACCCTCTGCCCACCTCCAACTACGCACGGCCCGTCCTCAAAGCCAACATCTCTAATACCTAGTGGGGATTGCTCCTCATTGCAAAAATTGGGGTTGACAACTCCAGCCTTTGACTTGCTGGCGACACAGAGAGGGATGCAGGAGGCAGCAGCAGCTCGGTAGCTGGGGACATTGGGGAGCTGCTCTAGTGTGCCATGGCTGGGAGGGGAGAGAGCGGCTTGTCATGCACCAGCCGATCTAGCTCGACGTCTTGGGCCCGCCTGGCCATGCTGCTAGGAGCCTAGGTGCTTCAAGCAAAGGACAAGGCATCTGAAGCTGCAATAAAACACAGAGTGGTTTGAGACGGGATGGTTATGTCATAGCAGAAACACGGGGGGTTGGTGCTGCCCACTGCTCACAGGTGTTGGTAGCACAGGAGGATGGCAGTGAACATCCTACCAGGTGCTTTTCTAGCATCACTGCAAAATTGGGCAGCTCTGCAAGGGCTGTATGAGCAGAGCAATCTCCAGCCTGCACCAGGGCTCAGGGCAGGCCATACCCTATGCAACTCCTCTGCTGTTGGTGGAGTCATGCCAGGATCTGCCTTTGCTCACTCAGACTGCGATGGGAGCTCACCACCTAATTTTCATTACCAACCCATTCCTTCCTAAAATGTTACATTAAAGTGCACTTTATGCAACTGGTTATTTTCTGAATTGAGCAAAGTGGTAGAGAAAATCCTTTTTATCCACCTACATTCTTCAGCTGGAGAAACTCTAATTTCACATCAGAGACTGATTAATCAACAGGACTCAGCACTGCACAAGCACCAGCTGTTGAGGGCTGGCTCCAGCCAATGCCAATATTGCCATCACACTGTGCCCACAGGATGCTGTGCCAACAGGATGCTTTACACCAGGGAAAAGCCCTGACTGCCCACGCAGGCCCATGCTGCAGAGGACTTGGCTGTCCACACCCCAACAGTGGGAAAGGAGAAGCTCCATACTCCCTCTGCCAGGCACCACATCACTTCATCCTAATTTAACATTACACTGCTACATGTTATACCTTCAGTATTGGTTTCAGCAGCTTCAGTTGACTCCTCTTCCTCCTTCAAAATGAAAAAACTCATTTTAAGAGGAAAAGCCCCGCTCTGTTGCTAAAAGAGCACTTTGTGGATTGACTGGATTCCTTATATCCTCCCCCCCCATTCATCAGCCTCTCGGCATATTGTTCAGTGACAACATTGTAGGGTGAAAGCAGAGCACAGACCCTCAGAGCACAGATACTGCTGTTGGCT